ATATGTAGTTTTTTTTTATTAATGTTGAAATTGCTGTCCGGATCATCTGCTGGAAGATAAGGTTGCTGAAATAAAATGAAAATATAACATTGTGAACTCGCCATCGTTGTCACACCCGTACCTAATTAAAAGGAAGGAAATATGTTGTGTTTTATCTATTTTTTTCTCCTATTGATTGAGAGGAAAACTCGCGGGAGTGAAAATAATTTAACTACCTCTTCTCCCGTAGGCCCAAAACCTCTATGTCTTTTCAATTTGAATTAAAATCAATTTAAGTAAACTTAAGTTCATGTGATGCACTCAAATTATACGAAATTTATTTCGTTTTCGTTTTTGCGGTGCTACACTGCCGTACACCGAAATAATTTAGGGTGTTGATATAGGATGCACCTTTGTTTAAAACTAATGATGTTAAGCTGTCAAAGACTCGCGCTAATTCCTGTTTACACTAAAGCCCTACAGTAAAAGTATGGACGTCTGTCAAAAGTTGTTCCAATCGAACCGTCAAAATGCACCGCTTTTCTCGATTGGAACAGCTTTTTTCAGTTTTGTGGTGACAGTCGTCCATACTTTTACTATAGGGCTTTAGTTTACACTACACCGGTGCTACACCGCAATAACGAAAGCGACATGACTGGAACAAGCTTACCAATGGGTAGTCCCAGTCTCCCTCGACAATGCTCGCTTTGTAGTCATTATTGGGTATTTTGCGGTTACCGTGTACTATCATTACACCTATACTTTTTTTTTTTAAATTGACACTAGATGGCATTACAAAAAACGCTTCAATTGGTTGTTGTCTCGCCTATCTCTACCATTATATACTCGGACAAAAATGCTACACTTATACCACAGACAAGCAGACATAACACTCACAATTTGTTCATCGAACAAGCATTTAACGGTCAATTTAAAAGTATTTTAGTTGGTAGTACTGCCACCTGTGGCGCGCATAGTCAATTCCCTTGCGTTTGACGTTTACACACTACCGCCATCTGTACAGCGTACTACCCACCACAGTGTACTCAACAGATGGCGGTATTGATTTAGCGACGATGTTTTGCAGTGAGAAAAATTCAATGTGTTATGTCTGTTTGTCTGTGCTTATACAATTCCACACATTTTTATTGACGAATTTCTACATGATTTTTTATGTGAACACACATAAACAGAATCCATCCAGAAGCACACTTAAAATTTATCAGTCAAAAGAATAGTATGTTTGGTTACACATGGCTTTTATGTGTACACATATTAAGTATGCGTCTGACAAATAGATGTAATTCGTTGATCACATTTCAAAAATTCATGTGTGGGACACATAAAAATAATCTTTGAAATTTTATCAGTGTGCTCATATCAGTTCACTCAAAAAGCGCAAGAAGTGTATCCACATACAAATGAGCAAAATTCCACCCAAACTCGAGGAAATTTCACCAACATTGCTGCAACTTTTCCGGAAAATCTGCATCCCATTCCCGAGTAAACCCACCCTCTACATTTAACGCAACACAAAACTATTGTACTTAGCTTTTTTTGAAGGACAAACCATCCATTCCTTCTTTTTCGTCTTTCGGCAATCTTACGCAGAGGACGCAACGCAACCGTTTGTTTTTTTTTCTCGTATTGTACCGTCGTTCAGCCATCCGGTTCCTTCTGCTTCTCGCCATTTTCCTTTTTATTTTTATTTTTATTTTCACAATCTGCGCCAACTCTTTTTTCACACTTTTAGACCTTTCTGAGACTTCTAACACTAATTTTTTGCATCAAATCACTTTCCACCGTACTTATTTAAGCCTTACTCGTATCTTTTTTAATAAATTCCACCAAAAAACATAGGAATTATGATTTAACTGGGTGGGCTATTTTTCCACTACCACTTGATGCGCCAGTGCCTCAAAAACACCTTCTCTACAACAATGATAAATGTTGTAAAATTGTGATTTTTGATATGTCAAGAGCAAATTTTCATTACGTCGAATGTAACAAAGGTAAACAAAGTCGAGCTATCAGTGTCAATCGATTCTCCTGCTATTACACTATATACTGTCCGAATATAGGATCAAATCCCATTTTTAAATTTATTTACCAGTCAAATTGCTTTTTGACGTAATCACCTTCCGATCAAAATAGTTTTCGATGTTACTTAAGTCACCCAATTTCTATGGAGATGCCGTTTGACTTAAGTAACAGCGCTGAGAAACCCGTGAAAAGTGTACGTTCGTCGTTTCGCCTTCTCATTATTAAAGTGAATAAATCGAACTGTTTGTTGCTAAGATGATTTCGGTGGTCCTAAAATGATGAATGGGCTGCACGTATGGAGACGTAATTGATAATTCTCCCGAATATCCTGGTAAATACACTTTGACTTAAGTAACAATAGGGGCCACCAAACGACGTATAATAACTTTTGACTCAAAAACCAGTATTTTTTAGCATGAAAGCTAGCGATTTGCATTTGTATGATTAAAACACTGCTAAATATGTTAAACATTGCTATCACTATGAGATTATATGTGTTTACTTGGAAATAGAAATAACTTTTCGGTCATCAAAACAAAACTTTATTTTTCTCGGATTGGTGCGAATGCTACTTACGACATAATGAAAATTTGCTCTTGATGTTAGCTGTTCAACGGCTCCGAGTTATCACCAGATGGTCCGCTGGTAGATACGGAACATATGTAAAATTGATTGCTGTGTAAATTTGATCAAAGTAGGCCTTGATTTTCCTCCGAAATTATATGGATTACAGTTTCTGAAATATTAGCTGGTCATTGGCGTTGACGGCACCGTCGAAAAATTTGCACTTCCAGCAAATTTAGACAGTTTCTTATGGGAATTTTCGGTGGAGTGAAAGGATAGTACAAAGTCCGCCATGTTTCACGCACAGTCTGACGTTTTCTTACGGATTTTTCCATAGGAGTAAAGAGCTACAGAGTCGCCGTCAACGCCAATTGGCTCCAAATGGTCACCAGATGACCCACCAAAAGATCTGGAACATCCGTAAAATTGGTTGCTACGTAAATTTCATCAAAGTATGCCTTGATTTTTCATTGCAACTGTATATAATGAAGTAAAATTATGATTTTTTATATATTAGCTGGTCACTGGCTCCAAGTGGCTCGCCGAAAGATCCGGAACATCCGTAAAATGTATTGCTGCGTAAATTTGATTAAAGTAGGCCTTGATTTTGCTTTGCAACTACGTGAAATGTAGTAAAAGGGTGATTTTTGTTATATTAGCTGTTCAATTGTTCCGAGTGGTCACGACATAACCCGCCGGAAGATCCGGAAAATCTGATAAATTTATTGCTGTGTAAATTTGATCAAATTAGGCCTTGATTTTTCTCTGCAAGTATGTGGAGTGTAGTAAAATGGTGATTTTAGATACATTAGTTGTTCAATGGCTCTGAGTAGTCACCAGATGGTCCGTGAGAAGATCCGGAACATCCGTAAAATTGATTTATGTGTAAATTTTATCAAAGCAGGCCTTGCTTGTTCCCTGCAACTAAATGGAATGTAGTAAAATAGTGATTTTTTTTATATATTCGCTGGTCATTGGCTTCAAGTTATCACCAGGTGGTCCAGAAAATACGGAACATCCGTAAAATTTATTGCTGCGTAAATTTGATCAAAGTTGACGGACTCAAAGGTGCGTTATAAAAATGTGCTACATTAGCAGAAATGGACTTCAATTCATCAAGAATATCCAACTGTAGCATTGGATTGCTATGCATTGGCGCACTAGAATTCATGTCCATCGTGAGACTTGAGAGTTGCTTGATTTCTTCATTCAAACATTTCAAGTCATCAGACATATCCGACGTCATTGTTTGCAATGACGTAGATATAGTCTCTTTAGACGCTTGCATCGCTATATCAAATAGCGGATAAGGTATTGTCGTAGCCGACATTTCCCCTATTTAAATTCGCTCCCTTGGCTTATCGCCTTAGGTAGGGGCCATTTGTATACGATTGTTTGCATTCGCATGCTAAAAGTCTCGTACTAGCATTCACTTGTTGTTAAGGGTTACTCATAATCCAGCATTCAGTCTGCACAATCTCTGATGTAAAACTGTGTCAATTATCTTAACTGCAGTGCGAAATTAGCAGTTTGAAATCATAAAATCTAAACCAGTACTAAAATATTTTACAAACCCTGTATTATTCGGGCGAATAGCTGCCTGTAACATAGCCTCTATCGTTCCATCCCGCATAATAGCAGTTTGTTGGTTTAGGGCTCAATAAAATTAAGCAAAATTGCAAATTAATGCCTTGCGAATTGTGGCCGCCCCGAACATGCATTTCGTTTCCCCATGGTCGTCGGGCTCCAGCAAACCCATGACTGCAGGGTAGCTCCTTTATTTTTCCGGTTTCAGAAAAGCACGAACAACACCCAAAACGGATATGCAATTCGAATTAAATCTACGTGGCCGCCGCCGAGCGGGTGGTGCTTTTGTGCTTCGAACTGCTGCTTGTTGTGTTGGTCCCGTTTTTATACAACTCAGGGATTAGGTTGGCAACACTTTTGTAGATTGTTGTGGTGGACTCGGATGTTGGAGAATTGCTAGCTGGCGGTACCTACATAAGTGATGGAGAATTGCTGCAGCAGCATGCTGGGTGGTCGAGAGCTAGAATTCCAAATCAGACCAAATATTTATGATGCTAATTCAAATCGGATTTTCGGTGGTGCATTGTTCGCTTTATCCAGTGCAATTGTAACCGATTTGGAATTGCTTCCGGAGTCATAAAGTGTAAATTGGGAATGTGGCTGGGTGAGTTCAAAACGAATTGTTTCTCAGTATTTTAAAGGATTTCAATTACGGTTGGTTAAATTTAGAGGCCTTACCGATGCAAATCTAAAGTTGCGAATAATAGCATTCAAACCAATAGGCAATTATTTGCATGAATATTTATAACCATCAATTCAGTATTACAATACCTAAAAGCATTCTATTGATGCCAGCCACCTAATGATCTTGTTTATCTCTTTCGTTTCAGAATTTATATCGAACACATGACGATGACAAAAAAAAGCTCTTCAAATCGGTGAGTATGCATCCCTCGAATCCTCCCACTCTATTCAAGGCTATTTTTGTTCTACATCATTACCATCATCATCATCATCATCATCATCGTCGTCGTCGTTATTGTCGTCGTCGCCGTTGTTATCAACGAGTCAGAATCTACTCATACCTTTCTATAGAAACTAGAAAAAAGAGAGCTCGATTCACCAAAGCCATCTGCTGCTTGCTCAGGAGATTTATTATCCTTTCCAGCCATACAGAACCGCATCAGAAGAAAAAGGAAAAAAATCTGTCCATTTTACCGACCTTCTCACGTCCAACCACCGTCCCGCGTGGGTGGGTGCCTTTTGAACCAGACTCACACGTACATGTTCCGACTAACCTTTGGGTATACATACGTGTTTGTCCAACCCAATTCATGATGCGAGGTGTCATGCTCTTTTTTAGTACTGTTTGTATCCCCTATAAATGCATCGCCCTTTGGCTGCTGGCGACGGACACTCCATTTGCGAGCTAGTAGGGTAATGTCACTACAAATCAGCGAGTTGCCGACTCGCTCATCCTCACAATCATCAACACGAACTCTCCTTTACACTTCTGACATATCTTGGAATGCAGTGGTGGTGGTGGCTAATAATGAAACTTGACGACAGTGAAAAATTACACGACAAAATTCTCCCTGGTCGAAATTAGAAAATAAATAGAATTTACAAATTTTGCAATAGGTTCGAGCAACATAGCGAAAATAGTCGACAACCTCTTGCCATGGAGCATTACTCATCATTTATGCCACCAGGGGCAATGAGCAAAATATTCCCATTCCTACTTGGTGGGGTGGGGTACGACCCTATCATTTATATTAGGTGTACCACCACCATCATCAGCAGCTGGGACGACTATCCGGTGAGACGGTCCTCCACCTGTCCCCTCCTGTTCGAGTGACAGTTTGTATCATTTTTCAACGAACCACAACCATTCATCTATCCCGTGCTAGCTAGCTACCCAGCATCCAGAAATGGCACGACAGCACCAAACAGCGACTGCCTTATTTGCCGGGAGCAGTGGTGGCACGAGTCCTGGAGTTTAACATTTTTTCCTTAACATTTGATACTTTTTGCGATAACCATTTTGACGACACACAAAAACAAACTGGCAAGCGGCAAAAATGTCATGACATTTCTAAACTGTTTTCTGCCGGCGACAGAACATTTTCGCACAAAGAAGCAGACAAGACCGGCGGCGTGCGCGACATAAATTTATGTCGTGTAGAATTTTGCTGATTTCTGGCTAATTACTGCATTTATTTGATGTTTATTGCATGGAATTAAAAGATAAGAATGAAGACTGACCACTCATAAGCATTGATGTTAAAATTATGCGTAAATAAGGGAGTTGGTAATTTACTGTCACACGCAAGCCTGCAGCTAAAATTTCATTACAATAAACTGTTTGGAAAAATCAGGCTGCGAGATTTTATTTATTCTCTAACTCCGCTGTTCGCTTGGAATGTAGTTATAAACGGCCGCCCGTGTGCTGGCAGTTTTGTTTCGCTCTGGACGATGGTTTTTCAAAAAATGTACTGTTGCCACCTCTGGCCGGGAGTCATGTCACCTTGTGACGTGTTTTTCATACCGAATCAGACAGACAGCACAATGCTCGGAAGCTCATCGTCTGCGGAGTGAAAAACAGCAACCGGAGAACAATTGTATGACATAAGGATTACGACGGATCGACGGTACTTGGCACCCCTTGCAGCTGTCATGGTGCATGGTGGGAAAAAAGTGACCAAACAACCTCCCCTCAGGGGTGGGCGTTTTTCTTTATTTTCTGCGATTTGCTGATGTTGTTTTGAAGAAGCCATTGGCAGAGTGAATTTATCATGCGAAAAGCTGGTTTGCATGGATGTTGAGTTGATGGGGATGCTTTCTTTGGCGTAGCTAGTGGAGGTGCCTGGGGCTCCAGAATGGATCACTCGAGCAGTTTAAAATGACGTCTTATTGCATCATTTTATTAAAATCGCTGGTAGCAGACCGTCACAAAACTACACGACAATGTGATTAATTCTGAATTTTACAAAATCGGAGTTCGATTCCCAGTTCGGTCTAGAAAATCTTAAAAGTAAATTTTGTAGCACAATTTACAAATTGGTTAGCATAGAAAGCTCTAAATAAATACAGGTATCCGTTCAGCCGTTCAGCCATAGGTAGTACTGCTGCAGCGGCACTAGGTACTGCAATCCCGGACCGAAGAAATGACTGGTTTGACGGCGAATGCAAGCTGTTAGTAGAGGAGAAGAATGCAGCACGGGCGAGAATGCTGCAATAACGCACGAGATTGAATGTAGAACGATACAGACAAGCGCGGAACAGACAAAACTCGGTTTTCCGAAGGAAGAAACGACAGCAGGAAGACCGAGATCGCGAGGCGATGGAAAATCTGTACCGCGTAAATGACACACGGAAGTTCTACGAGAAGCTAAATAGTTCGCGCAAAGGCTACGTGCCGCAAGCCGATATGTGCAAGGACTTGGACGGTAACCTTCTCACGAACGAGTGTGAGGTGATTGAGAGGTGGAAGCAGTACTGTGACGAGCACCTCAACGGTGAAGCAGCAGAAAACGAAGGTGGCACGGCAACAGACCTTGGAGCACGCGCAGAAGACGACAGGCTACCGGCCCCCGATCTTCAAGAAGTCGAGGAGGAGATCGGTCGGCTGAAGAACAACAAAGCAACTGGTGTACATCAACTACCAAGTGAGCTATTGAAATACGGTGGTGAAGCCCTGGCTAGAGCGCTGCACTGGGTAATTGCCAAGATTTGGGAGGAGGAGATATTACCGGAGGAGTAGATGGAAGGTGTCGTATGCCCAATCTACAAAAAGGGCGACAAGTTGGATTGCTGCAACTACCGCGCGATCACACTGCTGAGCGCCGCCTACAAAGTACTCTCCCAAATTCTATGCCGCCGTCTGTCACCATATGCAAGAGAGTTCGTGGGGCAATACCAGGCGGGATTCATGGGTGCCCGCGCTACCACGGACCAAATTTTCGCGATTCGGCAGGTTCTGCAGAAATGCCGCGAATACAACGTGCCCACACATCATTTGTTCATCGATTTCAAATCCGCATACGACACAATCGATCGAGATCAGCTATGGTAGATTATGCACGAGTACGGACTTCCGGATAAACTGACGCGATTGGTCAAGGCGACGATGGATCGAGTGATGTGCGTTGTTCGAGTATCGGGGACACTCTCGAGTCCCTTTGAATCTCGAAGGGGGTTACGACAGCTGTCTGCTGTTCAACATCGCGTTAGAAGGTGTGATCAGAAGAGCTGAGATAGACACGAGTGGCACGATATTAAGGAAGTCCATCCAGCTCCTTGGCTTCGCCGATGACATTGACATTATGGCAAGGAACTTTGAGATGATAGCGGAAACGTACATCAGACTGAAGGCTGAAGCTAGACGTATTGGACGTGCCATCAACGCATTAAAGGCAAAATACATGAAAGGAAGAGGTTCTAGGGAAGACAATGTTAGCCTCCCACCCCGAGTTCAGATTGACGGTAACGAAATCGAGGTGGTCGATGAGTTCGTGTATTTGGGCTCACTGGTGACTGCCGAAAATGATACCAGCAGAGAAATTCAAAGACGCATCATGGTAGGGAATCGTGCCGACTTTGAACTCCGGAGGACGCTCCTGTCGAATAAAATTCGCCGCCGCACGAAGTTGACTATCTACAATACGCTGATTAGACCGGTGGTCCTCTACGGCCACGAGACCTGGACTATGCTCGTGGAGGACCAACGCGCCCTTGGTGTTTTCGAACGGAAGGTGTTGCGTACCATCTACGGTGGAGTGCAGATGGATGACGGAACGTGGAGGAGGCGAATGAACCACGAATTGCACCAGCTGCTGGGAGAACCATCCATCGTCCACATTGCAAAAATTGGGCGACTACGGTGGGCTGGGCACGTCGTAAGAATGCCGCACGACGACCCAGTGAAAATGGTTCTAGAAAGCGACCCAACAGGAACAAGAAGAAGAGACGCGCAGCGGGCAAGGTGGATCGACCAAGTAGAAGGTGACCTGCGGACCCGTCGCAGACTACGAGGCTGGCGAACTGTGGCCATGGATCGAGTAGAGTGCAGACGACTTCTTCGGACAGCAGAGGACAACAAGGCCTTAGCCTGATTGGTAAGGTAAGGTAAGGGGTAAGAGGGGTATAGTGAACAGGTGGGGCATAGTGAGCATCCCGTGCACCACCTTGGACTTCCGGCCGTTCGGAACAAATTGGTTGGTAGTAGGATCAATATCATAATGATATTGAATCTCCTACCAGTTGATTTGTTTCATGCAGCTGGAGATCCAGAGCCAAAGTGCGGGATGCTCACTATGCCTCACCTGTTCACTATGCCCCTCCTTCCCCTATGCCTCGATATAACGTAGCTGTCAATTTTGACTTCCATCGCCGATTTCTCGCAAACGATCATTCAATCAAGCAAAGTAATGATTCCATCGGAAAGTCGAGACAAACCTCCATCTATTGGTAATGTTGATTTATATGATTGAATTATTATTTGAGAGATATCGACGATAACGGTCAAAAGTGACAGTTACGTTATATCGAGGTTTACCTGTAACTGTAGAAGTGCTTCAAAGAACACTACGCAGAGATCAGCCAAAACGCTCGCAAAAGAAGCGTCAATAGCGAGGAAGAAAATATTCAGGATTCCTTTTGTCGGTCGGTGTCGGTGGTGTAGTGAGTGGTAAGCGTGACTGCTTTCTCATTCCAATGGGTCTGGGTTCAATCCCAGCCGAGGCACAGTGAGACGAAATAAAAAAGAGTGGGACATGGCTATTGGCGATGCAACTATTGAGTGTAGCATTTTGATGTCTTTTGGAATGTTTCTTAATTTTTTGAGTACTTTAACTGAGAAGTGAACATTTTTGATTAAGGGAGGTATACACTTAGATAAAAAAAAACTTTTTTATGTCTTGTTGAAATTGATGAACAT